TATACATGTAAGTTTTGTGTTTGTTGATAAAAGCTTCTCGCTGCTTTTCAGGGTATACACAAAATGAAAGTTTTGATATTACGCTTACATCTTATTCTTATACAGACTGCATCTACTGCCTCTCATGGCAATAAAAGTGCTGCTCGGCGTTAGTTCTTTATTCTGGGACGTTCTTCTTCGAAAGACAATTGTCTTCCTTGCAATTTTTTGAGAAGTTTTGTGTCGCAGCTTTGCTTTTTTGTAAAAGCCAGTAATGTTATGAATATATTTTCATCTATTTCATTTTATATTCATACTACTGATTAGTATCAAGAATACCAAGATCGCCATGACATATCCGCCGGGCGCAGCTATGCCATGCTCTTTGGCACTGAGGTGTAGAAGTTCTTTGAGCATGTACCGTAGAGGCACGAAAGACCGAATTACACTCGGGTTGAAGAAAAAGACCCATCCAAGGAGGACAGGCTCTGCAGCAATGTGGGAGGGATTACAGTAGCCTGGAGGAATTAAAGGGAGAAAAAAGAAAAAGATTGGGAATTCGTAACTGCATCTTGATTGTAATTAACCATTTAAATCACCGCTCTTCGTGAACTGTTTTTGCTGTGCCTTTGAACTGTAAACCTAGAAAAATCTTATTTTGTAGCGAGTTAGAAATCAGGAACAGGCATAAACGATCGTGGCATCGGCAATCGTAACAGGCGACTGGAATATAAAGCTCAGATGTTTACCTTCCTTAAAAGAACGCAAAAAAAGACGAAATTCCAGGCAGGAGGTCATTTTCTGATTTTACATAAAAGCAGCCCACGGGTCACTGACCATTCCCCTGCACATTAAAATTGCCGATAGCTGCTCCTAATTCCATTCCGATTCTTCGCCTCTGAAGAGTGATGGATGCAGCAAGTGCAAGCTAGAAACAAGCAACTGAAAGCAGGGGAATTTACAAGAGGATGCATTCTATGTAATGCCGGGGTTAATGTATGCTGGTAATCTCTTGTAGTTACTAAAGCTTCGTACGAAAACAAGTTTTGTCAAAAAAGTTTATCACAAACAAAGTCGTAACCCAAAAAAAGAAAATCATGAATATTCACAACGAAATAAATTGGAATGATCACAAATCATGCTTTGGTGTGGTGCTTGTTAGCAAGCAGCGAGAAGAATAATGAGACGAATCTATGAAAAAAAATAAAAGCAGTCTCAGGCAAATTCCGGATTTCCACGGATAACAAACAGGCATCCGCAAATCAATTGAATTTCGAAGTGAAGCGAAACAGTTTTCATGTTGCACTGGTACTTTTGGTCTGAACATGAGTATTCAATACTTACTAGAAACATTTGCGAATCGCAAATACAGCAGAGCAAGCAGACTACCACAGAATCTCGCACAACAGAGAAGGGAGGGGAAAAAATTTGGGAATCTGTAAGTTTTTTTAAACATGTTCAGCACCGTTAATACATATTTGGTAAATCAATAAAGAATACGACGCCGGAGCGAAAAAAAAAATGAAATTCCCACACGCTGAAAATTTTGAAGACATTCAAAATTTTCAAAATTTTTGACTGCTGAAAATAAAAACAACATCGAAAATCAAACAATCAAAAATTGTAAAAATTCAAGTTCTCTATCCGAATTTTTGGCACGAATTCAAGTCCTTTTGTAGTCTGAATAAGCGAGGGAAATTTTCAAAATCTGCGGTCTTCAAAAATTAAGAAAAGCGAAAAATTAGGAAAAGCGGAACCAAATATGGAAAAGTAAAAATTTTCCGTCGTTGAAAAATTAATAAAACTTCTATCACCTGTGGATGAAAATACATGTGATCAAAAACAAAAATAAAAATTAAAAAAATGACAAGAAACTACAGATCTTTGGCACTCTGTCCTCGGTGACAGCGCATTACCCGGGGATATTAAGCCTGCATAGCATCCGCATTTCTCGCTTCATTATGCTCGTGTTCGTACTTTTCCAAAGCCTTATTCAGAATTTCGGCACACCTTTCGTGTCCGAACGCATTGGCATCATCAATTGGTTTTCGCCCGTATCGATCTTCTGGGTCTGAAACGGTCTCACTGACCCCAATGACAAAATTTTCATGGAATATGAAATCAGTAACAGTAAATTCTTGCTAAGACGAGTATGCCCACCGGCTATACGAAAATCTAGTAAACGGCAGAATTCTGTGTTTTTTTTTGGACAAGTATCAATCAATCTAAAAGACCCCTACAGTCAAGACTTACAAAAAGACTGAATATAGTTTCCAGAAATTTCCCGCAAACGCTTCTGGATTACTCGGTTTGTGATTTTCATTGAGATTTGAAATCTGGGATCCGAGACCAGGAGCAAAAGCTAATTTTTACAGGCTGAACATACCAGGACTTTCTTGCCATCGCTCAAGCAAGAATTTCAGAACACTTTCATTGCCATGTGCGGCCGCAACATGAAGCACTGTTCGATCGTCATAATCTCGTTCAGCGATACTTGCACCGAGCAAAAGATATCTAGAACGATTTTAAATTGGAAATACACGAGGAACAATTAGCAGCCTGTTCCAGGAAGCTCGCGTAGTCAAATGTTTTTGCTGTAGGCTGCTGCGCGGGGCCAGAAATCAGAAACTAATCAGTGATTTGAGATCACAGTCTCCTGACCTAAACCACTTAGTACCAAATAAATGTGTAACCGGTTTTACTAGTCCTTCAGTTATGCATTTTTCATTAACTTAAGATCATAGTTCAAAAACACAGCAAAGCCTGGAAGCTCACTTTCAAAACACTGTTTCAAAACACTCCGCGAGTTAAAGAGTCAAAATTTTTGAGATTAACAAGTTATAAAATTAGCCTGGAAATGAACATGAAGTTATAGGCCAGGGCACGCTAAAAATTAGAATTTGATTTCAGGTAATAGCCCCAAACTGCAAAAATAGAATTTTTTAAATGTCTCAGCATTTTTTTTTTGTGTTTTTCTAGTTACGAAATGTGAGCCTGAACAACAGCAACAGTTGAAACACTTAAAAAATTCAGTTTTTAACATGGAACGAGATTTTAGCATGTTTCCGAACAGATCTGCGATGATGTAGCCAGAAAATTTCAGTCTCCTAGCACCCTTAGTACTGGGATTTAATTAACAAGAGAGACGTGCTTTCACACACAAACGCACGCACACAGCCTCAGCTTAATGTATTGCCAGATGGATGAAGGCAAAAATGCAGGAAACTGAAAAGCGCATGTGAGCCAAAGAACAAAATGCTGCAGCGCCAAAGAATGTAAATTTTTTGTGGAAAATTTTCTACCAAAACTATATAAATCAGCATGTCAGTGCAGTGGAAGATTCCGCTTGAACAGCTATGTGGAATTATGTGGATGAGAAAGGCAATGGAGAAGTTGTTAGAAGCATCAATGGTGAGAAGAAATGCAATGATGAAATGACAGTTGAGCAAGATATCAAACGTAGGCACCGTTGGATTGATGAGATATCACCACTTCTTGCAGCATACATCATGTTGGATATGTTTTCGTACTTCACTTCTCGGATGTTTTTCCGTGGGTCAATTTTGTCCGTCTCCGAGTAAACCTTCAATTTTCCATTAAAATTTTATTTCGTAAAATTTCAAAAAAAAACTAGTTTAATTTGTGTATTGGGCACGAGTTATCACTGGAAGAAAGCTGCATAACTCTAACCTCAAAGAGTATTCATTCGCCTCGTAAACATACACTGATCGCTTCCTCTATTGAAAAAGGAGAAACTTGACTAGCTTGCAACAAGTAACTAGTACAAGACGTTCCGATAGTTCCGAGCGGGTTGTAATTTTCTTCAAGAGGATCAGATTGCTCCCAGGCAACATTCGAAAAAGTACACTGCCAGCAGGTAGCTTTTACTAGTACTTCCGCTTCTTATAGACAGCGAGTACGGAGAAGGTTTTCATATAATGATTGTCTGTATCACTTGTTAATTCCCCCTCTTTCCTTCCTCTCTCACTCTTTTGCTCATTCACTTATAACTCTCTTCTCTTCTCTTCTCCATCATGTAAATTAGTTACATGATTATTCATAACATGACGGGTGGGAGGCTGTACTGACGATTCTCACTCCTAACCACATGCATAGTTTAGTCTGTGCATACAGATAAGGGATGAAACACAGACTTACGAGATAGTAAAACGTTCTTCGGCATATGACACTTAAGACCAATCCTTCCATTCTACTATTTCGATTGACTATTACAAGCATTAAAGTTTTCAATTGACCAAAGTTTCCGAAATAAAAAATTGCATGCAAAACACTTACAAGACTATCATAATTATGAAAATTGAATTTTTCAACGAACTGCGTTGCAAATGCGACGCCACGAACTGTGTTACCAAGGGCATCAAGTGGTGGTGAATACAAGCAAATACCCATAACATTCGGCACAACGATAATCATATCACCCGAAACACCGCTTTTTGCCGGTAAGCCAACCTGGAAAAGCCATTTTCACACAAAATTATTGCGTTGCTTTTCCGCGAGAAAGTAATCCATAAAACGGATGTGTTGAAATTCCTACACTTACCCAGAGGATCCAGGAGTTTTTTTTGAAGAGGTAGGGGAGAAGAAAGAGAGTAGGAGGGAAGGGGGAAGAAAAGATGGCTTAAGTGATGTAGCATGAAATATTAATTAACTCATAACAGAATGGCCTGGTTAACCTGAGCCCTGGATAAATCTCAGTAACACTGCAACTTCACACTGTAATTCTGAGTGACCACAGTGACCTTTAAAACTGTTACCTAAATTTACTAGTAAGTGTCCTTCACAGGTCAAGTAGAGTCACTATCTCAGCAAAAAATTTTTTCAAAGATGCGCATTGCGTTTGTGGGCCTGGCTCAGTACAAAGTACAAAAAATGAATGCGCAAAAATCGTAAGTTCGATTCCACCAGCTAATCGATTTCTGATCCATTCACGTGATAAATCGGAACTAGAGCATGTCAGGAAGTCAAATCTGTAATCAGCTTGTTTTTACGCAACCCTCGAAAGAGCGAGAAATCGACAGCTTCGCTAGCAAGTGGTCGTTGTTGGTACCTTGCTATCCTTGGAGTAATTCCATTGCTCTTGTCTCTCAGAGAGAGAGTGAATACGGAAGGGGTTTTGACTTTGATGCAAATTTTAGCAAATCTCATTTTTACCTTGAAAGCAAACTGTCCCGAATAATCGTACATTCCGCATGAATACATCAGCGATAAAGTATCACGGACAGCACGATTGCAAACCACGCGTTCTTCACTCAGCGGTGATACTCCACCATTTGCGAGTGTAGCCGCCATTACGGCCAGAGTATCCACGTTGGTTTCAATTGCGCACAATTGAAAATAGAGATCCAAATTGTCCTGGAAAAGATTTATCGTACTTAATATTTCAAAAATATTTCACACCAAATTTATTACGAAAAACCACTGAGGGAAATGAAGTGGATGTAAAGAACGAAAGAAAATGGGAGCTAGAAAATATGCCTCGCTTTTATTTTCTCCCAAAAGATAGACTCAGAATTTTAACGAATTTGCAATTTTAATGCTATTAAATTTCGAAAATCAAAAATGATGTTCGAAATCTGATATTTTGCAATCAGATAAACAAATCAACAAATTGGCAAATAACGAAAATCAAGTAAGCAAAAAATCAAGTTAGCTAGAAAATGGGCAAGTAAGCCAAATGAAGGCATGAGATGTAAATGAGGGAAGCGAGATAAACTGGATGGTAGGAAACGGTGAGGAAAATGGGACGCAAATTACAGCATGATAGTAAGCCAGATCCAAAGTCAAAATTTTCTCCGTATTCACTCACTGTGAGAAGCGAATGCGCTCTGAATTAGTCCGAGTGGTAGCAAATGCCAACAGCAATCACCCATCAGCAGGGCTATCGATGGCACCTCCTCTCTCTGTTAAATTTCTTAGAAGCAGTGTGATAGCAGATTTGTCCTTCTAGCACATGCTTGCGCAAATTAACCATCGAAACGAATGAATTAACTGTATAGGGAGCGATTTTTCAGCTTGCAGGATCAGGTCCTCAGCAAATAAATAGCTTTAATTAGATGAAAGCGAGGAAGCAAAAGACAGCTACATACAGGAATAGTAATATAGATTTGGAGAGTAAGAAGTTAAAACCAATTTTGCACACTTTTGTTAACATATAACTAAAAAATGAAAGTAACTAAAAAAAAGTAATCTGATGAGGAAAATTAGTGGGTAAATAATACAAGCAAACCTGCAAATTGGTATTCGGTGGAAAGCATTTATGCTCACGCATATAGTAGGAGAGAGCATAATTACGATCAGCGGTGTCACGTTCGGATAGAAAGACGGCATTGTTGAAGCCAACATATCCGCCGGCAGCAAAACGCTTCAGTTTCTGCAGTGCGAAATCAAAACGATCGGCAAGCGATGAGGCACGCCTCAGCAATGAGGCCACCAGAATTGCACCCGCGTTGATCATCGGATTATGCGGTTTATCTGGAAAAAGCCTGACATTCACAGATGTGTGAATATGTGAATAAGCTTGACATTCAAAAATATGTGAATTTATTCATAATCGATTTGTGTGCAAATGTGTGCACGTTTATTACCCATTAACCCCTTCTCGATACCGGCAAGGTCCAGTTGTGGTGCTGAATAGGCGTGTATATGACTTAATGAACCGAAACATTTCTGTTCATCTAATTTTTTTCTTTAGATTAATTCCATATTTTATACAAAATCATTCTTAAAATCCTTGTTATTCCATGTCAGTGATGTTACTGCGATTCTCCAACATAAAAGGCACACTATTTTAGACCCTTTAGCTTTCGGCATAACAAAAATAAATCATTACTGCTGCTTCGATTCTAAAAGTGCCAGAATAAGTTCATTCATCTTACTTACTTTTCACGGTTAACTGATCATTGAGCCCAATGGTCGATTATTTGTGAAGGATTAAGGAAAGATTCCTTTTAGCTTTTAATTGCTAAAGATTCTTGGCAATTTTTTTGTTTACTGACTTACAGCACGATGACATTATGAATAATTTATATCGAGGCTCTAAATGCCACATTTAATTATCAATCCCAAAGAGAAAATTGTGGAAAGATACTCAGAATACTTTACTCAGTAATTAACGAGTTGCTTGATATTGCTCAGCGGAGAGCAGGTTTCCGGCAAATTGTGTTTTAGGGTTTTTCGTCCTGTCCTAGATCACAGAAGCCATGCACAAATGCACCACCATCGCAAGGACTATCGTTAAGAGGTCACGATGATACCGCTGTGTGACGAGCTTTGCTCAGTATTCCCTGAGCTGCCTTCAGCGGTTATCCCAGTGTGGCCGGTTTGGCTCATATTCCCTAAGGGTTTATCTCCACACATCGTCCAAACACTAATCTTGCGATTCACAGCTTCTGATGCGCTATGTTCATGAGCTTATTTATTTTAATTAGCTGTAGTTTATAGCGTGATTTTTCGTCCATGCAGCAGTCAACTTTTCCAGTTTCTCTACCAGTTCTGCGTCACTTCATAGTCGTCTTGATATTTGTTTCGTCTCCTGAAGGGATTACTAGCTCAACGCTTCTTCAGCAGCATCTCCTCGCAGAAGCTTTGGGCATTCGAGATGTCACTGGGCGTATGTCAAGCATTATTATGTTATCTCGAGCACACTCCACTCCCGATGAGGTATCTTATGAGGTACGATTTCGCCACGATAAGGCACCTTACTACCTTAGGAAAATCCCGGAGTCCTTTTTGTGTTTGAAAAAATGTAAGAATAAAAGAATCATACCTTGAAAAAACAAGTGTTTTCACCTATTTCAATAAATTCTAGAAGACTGAATCCTGGTTAAAGCTCGTTTCTGGGAATTCTTATATTTTTCTTCCCGCACCGATGAATTTGTCAGTCTCTTAATCCAGCGAAAAAAAGGAAGGAAAGTGGATAGGGTGGAAGCGGCTCGACGTCACCACTAAACACTTTCTGCTGATGTAAGTAGTTATCATCATCAACATTAGATGAAGATGATAACTATTTACATCAGCAGAAAAGGCTCTCACTGCTCTGCTGTTCTTCATACTTACATCTCCGCTTTATACCTCTAAATTAATTTTTTCTTTCACTACACTTGTTTGGCCTTTCACTGGCAGTAATCTAATTATTATTATATAAAAACATTAATGCTGATATGTGCAAAATATAAAAAGTTATTAAAAAATAAAAGAACAGAAATGTTTCAGTCCACTAAGTCGTACATCATCCTACTTCGTCGTATACATCCCTGAAATCATAATCGCCTTGAACTTTCATTAGCGTTAGTTGGAAAAAAGCACACTGTTTGTTGACTTCGGATTTGCTGTGTATCAAGTCCCTAATCCAGCATATTCATTTGCGGTCAAGCATATTAAGTAATGTCCTTTACGAAGAGGCTTCGGTTGCCATTCATCACTCTTTTTACCCCCATTTGCCTCACTTCCTCTCCCTCTTCTGCTGTTGTTTCGTTTCATTTAAGAAGTGAAATCAAAGAAAAATTCTCACTGCTGAGAAAATAATATAGTAGCTAACAAAATTTTTCAAGCCAATGGGGCGCAAAATGTCGCTACTAAAATTTCCAATTAAATGTTAACGATTTTTGGGGGCAAAGAGGAGAAAGTGAGAAAAAGATGCTAAATAAAAGCACTCATACATGAATGCACTTCAAAACCTCACTTAGTTCCCTCTCCCTTGTCCCTCACCCTCTCATCCTCCCTTCCTTCACCCATAAAATTCACTCAGCTTATATTGTTTTTACTTGCCATAAAGCCTTGTAGAAGCTTACTTCTTTTTCAATGTATTTTCCTTTTACAGTGACATCATAAAGTTTTATGCTCAACTAATATGCATGGCTCACGCTGAGAATCGAAGACCATTTTTGGAAAGGACAGTTAGCAAAAAGAAAAAAAATTAAGAAGTTCACTAAAATTAAGAAGTTTATAATTATATAAATATTTGATTTATACAAAAGCCGTCTGGGCCCGTTCTTCAAGCTTCGAAAAAATCATTAATTCACTCAACAAGAAGAAATCCAACAACAACACTCACCGTTGTGGTCCAAGCAGATTTCATTGAATAAACGGCCAGATGGCTCCTGGCCGACGTAGGAATGTACCTACAAATAAAATATTTCTGAAATCTACATATTACTCAGTTTCACGCATTCACTAAGCTGCAAATACAAGTCAAAGAGTATCAAAGCTTAAAACCAGACGCTTAAATATACAGAGTTTTGAAGCACTCAGAACCGCTCGAAGTATTGTTTTTCCTCGGTGGCGAGAAGGAATGAACAAAACAGCCGCTACAAAAACTAACAAAACAAGCATTCGACGATAAGCTAAAGATTTGATGCAAATTCTATCATCACCACGAAAATTGAGCAACAAGAAACATTGATACAAGAAAATCTGCGGATACAGACCTCCTCGGCTCCAAGTTCATCCAGAACAATGGCGTATGTGAAGGGCTTGGAAACACTTTGCATACAAAATGGTACTTTGCTAGCGCCCCACGAGCGACGTTGTCCATCTACGGTACAGATTGATAAAGCCCAGTGGTTCGGGTCTGAGCGAGCTAGCTGTGGTATGTAAGTAGCAACCTGCAAGAATTCGATTTGTAGTATTTTTAATTGACATTGCCAGACTTTTTCTAGAGTTTTCACTGTGGCATAATATAAAAAAAATGGCCAACGCACGGGCTGCCCGCGCGAAGATGCGTTTTTTGCAGAGTTCCCCGCAGTTTTTGT